GGCTGCTCCAAAGACACTGTGCACCTACACCAAAGTGTTGTCACTGCCAGCCTCTCCCTCATCACCCGAAGCCCGCTCACCCCTCGCACCCGCTCACTCCCAATGCCCACATTCCACTGATGCTCACTTGCACCTCCATGCTCACGTGTACCCAGCCCTCTACTTACCCCGGATGCCTGCTTGTTCACAATGTCCCCTCACCCCCCCGATGCCTGCTCGCCCCCCAGGCCCACTCACATCTGGCCCTCCACTTGTCCCTCGATGCCTACTCGCCCCAGATCCCCACTAGCCCCCTGCTTCCCACTCGCCCCCCAATGCCTGCTCATCTCCCCCATGCCCACTCGTCCCTGATGCCATCTCGCCCACTATTCCCATTCACCCCTGATGCCCACTCACCCCCTGTCGCCCGCTTGTCCCCAATGTCTGCTTACCCCCGATGCCCACTCGCCCCCGATGCCTACTTGCTCCCCTGTGCCCCTCCCCCCCAATGCCCACTCACCCACGATGCCTGCTTGCCCCTGATGCCCACTCACCCACGATGCCTGCTTGCCCCTGATGCCCACTCACCCACGATGCCTGCTTGCCCCCGATGCCCACTCACCCACGATGCCTGCTTGCCCCTGATGCCCACTCACCCCCGATGCCTGCTTGCCCCCGATGCCCACTCACCCCCGATGCCTGCTTGCCCCCGATGCCCACTCACCCCCGATGCCTGCTTGCCCCTGATGCCCACTCGCACCTGATGTGTTGATATGACAGAACAGATGGAAAGACGGAAACAGATGCCTGAGGATTATCCCGGTTCTTCCCCAAGTTCAGGTTCAGCATTTTCTTTCGTGGAGATTATGAGGGCGGCTCTGCAACTTTGTTACCATGAATAGGGACAGCAAGTGTCTCCCCTCGACTTCCCCACAAAGTGTGCCGTGAGCTCTCTGCTGAGGCACCTGTGGCTCAACCAGCCGGCCTGGCTGCTGAAGTCCCTGTCAGTGTCACTTCGGCACGTCACAGATGGCCCCGTTGCTGGTTCTGGAGCCAGTTAGGGGCCCCGCGGGGGGCCCCCGAGATGCTGAGTAAGATCGTGCTGTTTGTTTGCGCTGCGTCTGTGCTATCAGCATGACGCCTCAGAGCTGAAGCCAGACGCAGGATGTGCCAGGATCCGGCGTGTGGTGGCTGCTGCCGGGAATGTGGGGCTGCGTGCTGTCCTTGGAGGTGTCTCCGTGACACCAAGGGCTCGTGTAACACACACACTTCCGCCGCAGTCGCTGTGACAGCGCTAAGCAGGTATTGGCCGTGATGTAGGTGAGAGCCAAGGGGTGGGGCTTAATTATGGCATAATAGAGTGGGAGGGGCTTTCTGTCATTTAGCACAGTAGGCGGGTACCAGTGCCAAAGTATGGGAAAGTGGGTGGTGCTTGGCAGGGTTCCTGATTTTAAAATGTTTCTACAGCATATTTAGTGCCCTCAAGATTAATATTTGGGCTTTAATATCCATCCGCCTCTCATCACTGATTCAGCATAGGGCTGCAGTGATCCTGGCATCTATTTCAAGAGCGCGAGGCTGCGGACACCTTGGATCAGACGGAAGTCCATCCCAGGCAAAGGCACACACACACAGTCACACTCTGAAGGCAATTTCCAGATGCTAATTAGCCTAACGCCATGTGTTTGCACTGGAGCAGAGCCCGCAGGACCGCCAGAGGATCACGGCAGCGATGTGCGACAGCGATGTGCCATAATGAAGCCTAATTGAGGCTCAGGGCACGGGCTCATTAGCGTGTAGCGTGTGCTGCTGCCCATGTGCAAGCTGTCGCTGAATCAGCCCGGCTGAGCTGCCACCATCGGGCGCCGAATGCAGCTTTCAGGACTCCCCAGCTCACTGGCAGCTCCAGGGGCGCAGCATCGTGTCGGCCCTGGGGTCCGCGGCTCGGCACTGGAGACACGCCGGCCAGGGGAGGCTGGGTGTATGCACATTACTTTCCGGAAATGAATCATTTTGCTAATCCTAATCTGAGAGAGACAGATTAGGGCAGCGGGGGAGGGGGGCGGAGGGCATGATGGTGATGAAACAGAGACAGTCTGTTAACAGTGAGAGATGGTAAGGGGGGAGGAGAGGGAGATATAGGGGAAAGAAAGAGCTGTGTGGCTCTGTGGGTCAGGACTCTGTGACTACATCGGAAGGTCAGTGGTTCAAATCCTGTGGAGAAAGATTTCAGCATTGGGTCCTTAACTACAAGTCCTCTGGTGATGCTGCAGACCCCGGGTCTTGATCCTCACCTGCATTTTATTTCAATAGTATCAGCTAAGTACATGTTAAGAAGCTACAGGTTCCCCTTCCAGCATGTGTCGTTTCCACTGGCATACAGAACCCAGGCTGTACCCAAGCCGCACTGCATAGACAGTTACAGCGCAGTTCCAACTTGGTTCAGTTATCCCACTGCAGAAGGGTTGGCTTGGTAAAGGCGTTACCGGGTTTGGAGAGTGACAGTGATGTAAAGATGCTTGCTGTTTACACAGTGTACCTCATGATTTACTTTTGCTAATTTCCTAATTTCCTTACACATCTGTGCTTATGTTAGCATCAAACGTTAGAGGAATTAGCATTCACTTGCATAAATTTACATTAGAAATCCATCCTGTTCAGCTGTTCTATAGCACTTTTTTAAATAGGAGTTTGGAAATTTCTGAGTCATCGAGAACATACCGGCACATTGTAATGTGAGATACTACTACTAATAAATAATGTAAATATATATAACATACCCTTTTTTCTTGAGATAATCCATACACAGAACACCAAGATCTCCGTGCATTTCGACCAATCAGATGTGAGGAGACCAGCTCGGTTTGGTCATGCTTCTGCCTACTGTGGTTATGGCTCGGATCTTGTGGCAGTGTAAAGGCATTGGACTCTGCAAAGCTCCTGCTCTCTGGGCCTCATTCACTCTCTGATCACATGACGGTTAAACAGAGAGAGAAAAAAGAAAAAAAGAAGGGAAACCAAGAAGAGAAGGAGGATGCGAGAGTCACATGTGAAAGGAGGGATTTATGCAGTGAAATACGTGGAGTATTTGGTCTCAGTGCTAATAACCATGGGAAAGAGAAATAGATAGATGAATTATTCATCTTTAGAGATGTGTGTAAATATTTAATAAACGTCTGGGAATAGGGGAGTTACCATGGGTGGGAGCTGCTGGGGGTCTGCGCAGATAAAGGTCTGCATGGCTCACAAGCCTGCTGCTCCTTATGGAAGGAGCTAGAAAGAACTAATTAGTCCCAATCGCCATCTGCATGTGTGATGCAAATGTGTGTGTGTCTGCATGAGTGTGATGCAAGTGTGTCTGCATATGTGCGATGTGAGTGTGTGTCAATATGTGTGTGTCTGTGTCCTTCCTGATGCACTTTCCTCCTCCACGTTCTCTGAATTTATAAGGGCAATAGTACATGTTTCTCGTCTTTAAAAAGCTCATCACTGTTTCCTTGGTTGACAACATTGCAGTGCAGGTTCTGTAATGGCTGGGTCCATAAACGTGAATGCAGTGCCGGTTCTGTACTGCCTGTGTCCGTAAAAATGTTATTGCATTGTGGATTCTGTACTGGCTAGGTTTGTGGAGATGTGATTGCAGTGCAGGTTTTGCACTGGCTGGGTTCGTGGAGTGTGATTGTACTGCAGGTCCTGTACTGGCTGGGTTTGGTTTGATTGCAGTGCAGGCTTTGCACTAACTGGGTCCATACAGATATGTTTGCAGGTCAGGTGCTGAACTGACTGGGTTTGTGGAGATGTGATTGTAGTGCGGTTTCTGTACTGGATGGGTCCATAGAGATGTTACTGCAGTGCGGTTTCTGTACTGGCTGGGTCCATAGAGATGTTATTGCAGTGCAGGTTCTGTACTGGCTGGGTCCATAAAGATGTGATTGCAGTGCAGGTTCTGTACTGGCTGGGTCCATATAGATGTGATTGTAGTGCAGGTTGTGTACTGGCTGGGTTTGTGAAGATTTCATTCGAGTGCACGTTCTGCCTTGGCTGGTTTTATGGAGATGTGATTGTAGAGCAGGTTCTGTACTGCTTGGGTTTGTGAAGAGTTGATTGCAGTGCGGTTTCTGTACTGGCTGGGTCCATAGAGATGTTATTGCAGTGCAGGTTCTGTACTGGCTGGGTCAATAAAGATGTGATTGTAGTGCAGGTGCTGACCTGGCTGGGTCATAAGAACATAAGAACATAAGAACATAAGGTCCATATAGATGTGATTGTAGTGCAGGTTCTATAACGGCTGGGTCCATAAAAATATTATTGCAGTGCAGGTTCTGAATTGGCGGTGTTTGTGAAGAGTCGATTGCAGTGTAGATGCTGTACTGGTTGGGTTTGTAGAGATATGACTGTAAGTGCAGGTTCTGTGCCGATAAGGTCTGTAGCTGGGTATTTTACTGATGGTCCTATTCCACCTAGTATGTTGTGGTAAGACATTTGCCAGAGGAATGGCAGCCATTTGGTTTGTCATCGTTTTGGACGAAGCTCGCTCTCTCTCTGCGGTCGGTGTTCTCACATTAGGAGCCGTCCGATTTGACAGCTGCTCCGAAATGCGTCACACTGACCTGCTGTGCCAAGGGGCTGTGCAGAGCTTCTGCTCTCATGTGCACATGGGATGATTCCACCTTCATCTTCTGTTCATTTTTAGGCTGATATTATGTCACAGCAGTGGGCTTTATTGGTTACCTGTTGGATCAGCAGAAAGTCACAGTAATGTGTAGCAGAGTAGCTGTGAGGTGTGATAAGATCAGTGACCCAGTAGGACTTTCACCAGTAATGATGATCCAGGTTGTAAAACTTGCAGGCTGGTTCAGTTTCTCAGCTACTAACATTCCTAGTGGTTCTTTCATCCAGCACATCTCTGTTGGCCTGTTGACAGAGATTATCTTTTGAATCTTTTCCCCTGTGTGTGCCATGAATATGATCTAAAACACAGCTTCTTGCAATCCTCTTCATACCTGCTCTCCCTCTTTAAGGTTGTTGGAGAAACGTCAAGCCAATGGCGAGGCGATCGAGCTGTCGGCAGAGGGGCGTCCTGAGTTGGTGGAGGAGAAGGAGCTGCCCATCGTGGACTGCACCTGCTTTGGCATGCCACGCCGCTACATCATCGCCATCCTCTCGGGTCTTGGCTTCTGTATATCCTTTGGTATCCGCTGCAATCTGGGTGTGGCCATCGTCAGCATGGTGAACAACCACACCGTCTCCAGGGGGAACAAAGAGGTACTGGTGGTAAGTGTGAGTGAGCCAGAAGCACTGTGTCAATGTGTGCTGTGGCTGTTTGTGATGCCCTGCCGTTACCCACTGATGACCTGTGATAATGGGCGGAGCTTGAGGAGCTCCCTGCTAACCCATGACCTCACATTACCAGTATGGAGCTAAAATTGCATTAGAATGTTGTTGTAACATTATGAGAGCATTCAACCTTAGCTGAGGCCCGGAGCAGTGCAGTTCCTATGGCGTCTGCAGAGAATCTTAGTGAGCCCTGAGATCCCCTTTCACTGTTGGCTGGGACATGTCCCTCTTTGCACCTTGTGGCTGGTGGCTCAGTGAACTTAGCCTCTGTGCTTGCGATCAGAAGGTTGCCAATTCAAACCCAGCCTTGGCATGTCTGCGGGTCCTTGAGCAAGGCCCATAACCCCCAGCTCCCTGGGTGGTGCTATGGGTGCCGGCTTCTCATGGCCAGCTTGCACTTACCTACAGACAGCAAGTTAGGGGAGGTCTAAAGGAGAAATAGATCAATCTGTTATTATAATTTGACTCTGACGTGTCGCTTGTCGCCACTGCTGCCTGTGGGGTGTGCCTCTTTGCCTCTGCTGCCTATGACATGTCCCTTTTTGCCTCTGTTGTCGGTAGGGTGACCACCTAATCCATGTCAGGAGGGACACTATGAGCTACAACAGGATTTGTAAACTACCATTTCATACATTTCAATTAAAAGGACCAGGATTTCACTTAAGCACTGGGTTCTTGCCGTATGCTGATTGGTCAGTCTCCCATAATCATGAATATGTGTCAGTAATGTTAATGCGAAACAGCTGGATGAGTCTTTCAATCTAGGAACTAACCAAACATTTTAGCAGAGCACAGAACCCTTTCAGCTTAAAAGTAGTTCGTAAAAGCTGAAGTAGCTCATAGTGTCCCTCCTGACATGGATTAGGTGGTCACCCTACCGGCAACAGAGGCAAAAAGGGACATGTCATAGGCAGC